CGGATGTCACCATCGGCGTGCGTGGGTGCTGGTCGATGGTCCGGGGGTGGCTGGTGGAGCTCCGTGTTGCTGACGTTTGAGGTCAGTAGCTTCGTTGGTCGTAACGCTGTGATGTATTTGCTGGACAATCTGATGAAGACCACGTTACTCGACCGTGGTATCGTGCTTCCGCTGGGAGTACCTGTCAAGCCCGCGTTCAAGTTCTTGGAGTCGTTGGCTGTGTGCTTCGCGCTCTTGTTTCACACGGGCTAGGATTGAGTCGGCCCGTGTTTTTTTCAGCGTCTCTTTGCTGGGATAGCTGGGTGAATCGTAACTGCGCGTGGTCCGCCGCCTGCTGCACCTCGGCCGTGTGGGCTTCGAGGGGGGCGAAATCGCAAACCGAAGTCGGGGTGCCCAGTGGATCAGTTTGGACCCGTACAACGCGCAACTCAGCCAGCGCAGTCCGAAGTTCGGGGATTTTTTACTCGACCTGGGAGACTCGTTTCTCGAACGTTGGCGCACGTCCTTCGAAAGCTTCAAGCCGGCGAGTGAGGGCCATTTCGGCACCACGCAGCTTGCCATCTAAATGTGGCGTGAGGGTGTTGTGGGTGGAATGTATCGTGGCAACATGCTGTTGGACCTGGGTGCGAAATGTATCCAAACCCTCACGTAGCTGAGAATCCGTGGGTCCATGTACCTCCGTTGGTGGGTTCTGTCGCACCACGTGTAACGTTCTGACGGCAGCAGTCCCTGTATCCCTGACGGCCACGACTGGTACCTCCATCCGTAGGAGGTAGTCGTGAAGCGTCTGGGTCGTGCTGGGGTCGGCACCTCGGTGTGACTCCATCAGGCCGACCTGGGATTGGAACATGAAAGACGATCGATCGATCCTCAGCGACCTTGGCATCGACCAAGGCAAGAGCATGTTGTAGCTCCTGTCCGACGGCGGCCGTCTGAGCGGCCAGACCCGATACCTGTTGGGTCGCGTAAGTGCCAACCTGGTCTCGGAGCTCTGCCAGATCATTGGCAGTGGGGTAGGATTGCGCAACAAACCTGCGCTGCTGAGAGCCGTGCCGGGAGCATTGTTGAAATGGGCTACGGCTGGCATCTCGAATTACTCCGACGGAAGAACCCCACATAAGAATCCTCTGGGCGAATCTGGAAAAAAGCCATCACCGTCGTCCTCGTGGCTGGTGAGGCGTCCTGGCTGTCTCTTCTGCGTATATTTCCTCTCGCCTTGGCGCGGGCCCCCCTTCCACTCCTTACGTTGTCCCCATCCTCGCCCCCCTGTTTGTTCCGCGCCCCGCCACCTCCCCCCCTTCCTGTTGCATGAGCGCGCATGTCGATGTTCCTCGGCGCCGTCGCCGCCACGGCCAGCGCAGGCGCGTTCTCTACTGGTCACGTCGCGCAGCCGTTGGGACAACCCCGCGGGCCAGGCTGTCGGGACAACCCCGCGAGCCGCTGGCGCGCAAGACCAAGCCGTTGGGACAACCCCGCGGGCTTCGAGCGAGGCGCAGCCGCGCTCAGGCGGAAGGCAGCACGAAGCCCAGCTCTGCCGCGAGCTGCTTCGCCTCCGCCCTGGACAAAACCGCTCTCTTGTCGAACTCCAGGAGCGCCTTCCGCAGGGACGCCGGCGGCCCGCACTCCAGGAACTCTCGCGGCGGCGGCCGCAGGATCAGCATGTTCCGCATGCACGTGGCGCGGGAGAACATGACGTAGAGGTGCAGCCACCACTGCTCGTCCGACATGCCCGTGCGGCCAGCGTCCTCGTCTCTCGCGCAGTCGATGGCGACGCCCTTGCGCAGCGTCTGGCCCTGCGACAGCGTGGAGGTCAGGTAGGACGCGTGCGTCAGGGTGAACCCCGAGCGGCGCACGCTGTGCGCCCCCGAGCTCTGCCATGTGAACTCCCTTTCGCTGGGCCTGAACATCAGCAAGCTCCGCGCCCGCGCCTCGATCTCCCGCCTGAGACTTCCTCGCAGTTCACTCACAGACGAGGCTCCCGCCTGAGACTTCCTCCATATTCAGGCTTGAGGAACCCAAAAGTGACGACAGTTACAAGGTTCCGATGACCCGCTCGGATTACCAACATGATCTGCGGGCCCCATAGGGAGGGAGTTCCCGCCTGAGACTTCCTCACAATTCACTCAGAGACGAGGCTCCCGCCTGAGACTTCCTCCAAATTCAAGCTTGACGAGCCCAAAAGTGACGACAGTTACAGGTTCCGATGACCCGCTCGGATTACCAACATGATCTGCGGGCCCCATAGGGAGGGGGCTCCCGCCTGACCCTTCCTCAGAATTCACTCACAGACGAAGCTCCCGCCTGAGACTTCCTCCAAATTCAGGCTTGAGGAGCCCAAAAGTGACGACAGTTACAGGATCCCGATGACCCGCTCGGATTACCAACATGATCTGCGGGCCCCATAGGGAGGGAGCTCCCGCCTGAGACTTCCTCCCAATTCACTCACAGACGAGGCTCCCGCCTGAGACTTCCTCCAAATTCAAGCTTGAGGAGCCCAAAAGTGACGACAGTTACAGGATTCCGATGACCCGCTCGGATTACCAACATGATCTGCGGGCCCCATAGGGAGGGAGCTCCCGCCTGAGAGTTCCTCCCAATTCACTCACAGACGAGGCTCCCGCCTGAGACTTCCTCCAAATTCAGGCTTGAGGAGCCCAAAAGTGACGACAGTTACAGGATCCCGATGACCCGCTCGGATTACCAACATGATCTGCGGGCCCCATAGGGAGGGAGCTCCCGCGTGAGACTTCCTCCCAATTCACTCACAGACGAGGCTCCCGCCTGAGACTTCCTCCATTTTCAGGCCTGGGGAGCTCAAACGTGACGACAGTTACAGGATCCCGATGACCCGCTCGGATTACCAACATGATCTGCGGGCCCCATAGGGAGGGGGCTCCCGCCTGAGACTTCCTCACAATTCACTCAACGATGATGAGGATGAGGATGATGAGTGGTGGTGAAGATGAGTGGTGAAGAGGATGATGATTGATTGTGAGTGGTGGTGGCGATGATGATGTCTGAATGAGGATGATGCCGATGCCGATGATGATGATGATGATGATGATGATGATGTTCGTGAGCGTGTGAGAGAGTGCGAGTGATGATGATGATGAGTATGTGAGTGACTAAGCATGTGAGAGAGCATCATCGATGATGCTGATGAGGTTGATGATGAGAGAGTGTGAGTGAGTGTGAGTGTGTGTGTGTGTGTGTTCCTGTTCCTGCGCGGGGTGTCCAGAGAAAACAAGAACCCCACTTTGGATGTGGGGAATAAGAAGACGAATATGATACCTGCCGGGAACCTGTCGCTGAGACGTCCGTCCAGTGCAATTCTTGATGACCCGCACATGGTCTGAGACGGAGACATTTGTGGGCGACGGGGCCTTGGTCCAGCGGCGACTGCGCGCGAGAGCAATATCAGGAGACTCGTTCGCGGTGCGATGGCCGGTGCGGGTGTTGCCACCTACGCTCGTGTCAGCGAAAGTGGGTGGGGAGGCAGTAAGCGTAGTGAAACCAGCGTCGGCTCCGACGACAGACGGGGCAACTGCGGGTGTGGCCACCGACGGGCGTGACATGGATGTATCGGACGCCGCGGGAGGCGAATCCAGCCGTTGTCGCGAGGGTCGAGGCGTGTGAGCACGCGGGGGCGGCGGAAGCATCGGATAATCGGGTAAGAGCTCGCCGAGTGCAGCCGCGAATGACGCAGCACTGCCTTCACCAGAAAAGGGGGATATAGGTATCACAGTTTCTCTTGCCCTTTCCATGGTGCCGTCGCGAGAGTGCGCCGTCGAGGAGATCGCACGCTTGCAGGCAGCGCGACGGAGTGGCGGCGCCACGCGGCGGAATCCAAGACGACCCGAATTGCAAGAGCAAAGAGCGGATGAGAAAAGGCTGATAACCTGTGTGTATAGGGGGACGGCCGGGGGGCCGTTCCTATGCGGGGTCCGTAGGTCGACGCGAAGACTAGGACTCTTTTTTCCAGGGCATTGCACAGCTAGCAGTGCACGGTTGTCGTTAAGCAAATACCTGAGCCAATACATTTGCGGAAAAAAGGATATAATAGGGAAGTGAGCGGACTTCACACGCAACACCCATCCCGAGGCAGGAAAACCCCCAGGAAGCGACGAAAACGTGAACACCTCGGGCGGCATCGGTTTCTAGAGGCCTCCTGGATGGGATCCGAGTTGATGTGGCGGGCGGATCGCGCAGCATCCGATGCACCAGCGATGTCGGCGATACATCATTGACGTCGGCGTTGAGAAAATCGGGCTCCACATTGAGCCGCATCGGCGATGCAGCTCGATCCCCCGACCAGATTAAGAACATATCATTAAGACATATAATCAAGACAAGTATCATTCAAGACATCTGGGCCAGCTTCCCAGAGGTTTATTCAAATCGATATGGGCCAACTTCTGCCGCTGCCGCTGGATAGGGCGAGCGTGCTCAAGAAACTGTGACAGCTTTCCGGCAGGCGGGTGCGGAAACGCTGGCCAAGTTTCTGGGACGGTGGCTTCCTGATCGGATGCTCGACTGTGTGACCCCATCTGGGAGCACTGCCCAGACATCCTCCGACCTGACCTTTGGCAAGCCACGGCTCCAGAGGTCCCGACCCCTTCCCAGGAGGTGTGCTCTCCCAGGCCCCGGACCCACTCGCCGATGGTCCCAAGGGCCCCCGGCGGCCGGGATCGGTGCAGGCCTGCTGGCCCGAGAGCATCGGATCCGCGGAGGTCTGGGTAGAGCCCTTCGGGAGGCACAGGGACACGCTGGTGCTGCACGTCCTCCTTGGCGGCGCGCGTCCGACCAGAACATCAAATGTATTCATTTTTTGTGGCGCGTCGGTTCTAAAGCGGTGCGGCCAGAAAACACCCGCCACGACGCATACATACTATAAGATGTCTCGGTGCGCGCGTCGCCCCCGGGAGGGGGGCGACGCACACATCGTATGAGTATGCGGGGGTGGCGCCGGCAACTCGGTATTATTTTTTGTCCCCCTGGTCCCTTGACGCTGGCGCCCTCGAAGCGGCAATGCCCAGCGCGGCCCAGCAGCGCGGCGTCCGCCAGGCCCGGCGCGAGGGGGCGCAAAACTCCGAGGGGCTGCGCGCCAGGCGCGTGGTACGCGGTGCGGTTGTCGCTGAAGGCCGTGGAACTCTCTGGGTGGGGCTTGTGGCGGACGTAGGCCGTGGCCTGCTTGCGGCAGGCTCGCGCCGCGAGGACCCCGACGGTGATTCCGGACACGGCGTGGACGGCCTAACCTTGACCGGTCGGCGGCTTTTCGTTCGCCAAATCGTTCTATGTTGGCCAGTCCTGGGGCACTGGCGGCGTTCAAACTTGCGCGCCCCCTGGCGGGGTCGCTGCCGCGTCTGCACGACGCCGCCGCGTCGGCGCGGAACGCCCATACCTCGGTTTAACTGATAATCGACTCTTCACCACAAAAACACGGACGCCGCCGATGGACACAGATTGACGACTCTCTGTCGCGACACTGTCAATTGAATAACACGTCTACATCGCAGAAAAGGGGGGTGTCTGGGAAGGGGCACGCCACTCCTTGACGAAAACCATGCCTCGTCGAACGGTCGCCGCGATAGCCGCGGCGACTTTCAAAACCGACCCGGGGCTTTGGTCGGGGTCGGAATTCGCGCGCCGATCCCAGATGATTGGATGCCAGATTTGTTCGGTCGCGATCGATAGCGACCAATCGGTCGTGAACGATTTGAAGCAAATCGGTCGCCACTGAGACCGGAATCCCACCAGCCCTGTGGGCGTAGGCTGCATATTCTGTCAAGGGAAATCAGTACCTATACGACCACCCTTCGGGCGATAAGGAGGTTGGGAGGATTGAGATCAAACTCCCACCCTGACTGACCTGCAGCATGTCACCTTGAGCTCATCTCTCCATTTCTCTGTATCTCTCTCTCTCTCACTCTGTGTCTCTCTCTCTCTCTCTGTCGCTCTCTCGCGCTCTCTCTCTCTCTCTCTCTTTTTTTTTCTCTCTCTCTCTCTCTCCCTCTCTCTTGCTCTCTCTCTCTCTCTCTCTCTTTGTCTCTCTCTCTCTCTCTCTCCCTCTCTATCAGAGACGCCATGGCAAGCGGACGGAGGGACGCCATGGTGCGGCTTCCGAAAAACAAGGGCGCCGAACGCTCGAGCCTCGCAGTCTCCCGCGATCGCGCCCAGGCGCCGACAACAATGAATTGATGGATTAGGTTGGGTCGATTGGATTGGATAGGCTTGGATGGATTGGATAAGATAAGATGGGTTGGATTGGAATATATGGATTGGATACTATAAAATGGATTGGATTGGCCCGCCGCAGGCGCAGCAACGAATGAATTGATGGATTGGATTGGATGAGTCGGATTGGGTGGGCTAAGATGGAATGAAACAAACTGGGTTCGATAAGATAAGACGGATTGGATAAGGACAGTATGAATTGGATAAGATGAGCTGGAGTGGGAAAGACAGCCCGCCGCAGGCGCCGCCAAAAAATATATGATGAATTGGGTTGGGTTGATTGGATTTGATGGGATAAGATGGACCGGATAAGATAAAATAGGTTGGATTCGAAGAAACGGATTGGATCATATAGAATGAGTTGGATTGGCCCGCCGCATGCGCAGAAACAAATGAATTGATGGATTGGGTTGGGTGGATCGGATTGGGTGGGGTAAGATAGAATGGGACAAGATGGGTCGCATAATATAAAATGGAGTGGATTGGACAAAATGGATTGGAGAAGATTGGCTGGGTTGGATACGAAACCCCGCCGCAAGCGCCGAAAAAAATGAATTATGAAATTCGCGACATGCGTTAGCGCCGGGACGACCGGGACACCCGGGACACCGCCTGGCCCAACTGGGACATCTCCCGGCCACCGGCGGACGGGAAACGGACTTTCGGTCCTACTTCGGCCCAGCTACAGAAGGATCGCGCGCAGCTTCGCCCCGCCCGCACGCACGACGCGAACACGAAACCGAAACCGATTCCCCGGCGGGGGGTATCCGTCCCACTGCGATCTCACCCCCAATCTCCGTTTTCCCCTGCTCGGGGGAAGGGCTTACTACTGCTTCTTATTAATATACGCCCCCTACCCCACCGGACTGTGGGCCAATCTGAAACACGTCACCCCCACCACCACCATCCTTGTCCAAAACTATGCAAAATGCATTGTGCCTCCAAATATGGAGCATGCGCGGGCGCCCCACGAGTACGTTGCATTGGTGTTTGAAAGGGACGGCGGGAATGACGTCATATTGCTCGCTGCGCGCAGGCTCACCATCCCCATCAACAGTGGTACAGTACGCACTGGACCTCTACATCTGGGGCATGCGCGGGCGCGCTGTGACAACTTCGTATTGGTTTTTGATAGGGAAGGCGGGTGCGCCGTCATATTGATCGCTGCGCGCAAACCAGTCATCCCTGTTGTAACCAATACATCATAATTCACTGTGCCTCCACATTCCTCCACACTTGGGACGTGCGCGGGTGCCCCACTGCGCAATGGTTTTGATAGGGACAATGTGGGTGCCGTCATATTGCTCGCTGCCTCCACATTTGGAGCATGGGCGGGTGTCACACGACCACTTTGTCTTACTTTAAACAAGGACGGCGGGGGTGCCGTCACACTGCTCGCTACGAGCCGGCCAACCATTCCGGTCAAAAACACTACATACTGCACTGTGCCTCCACATTTGGAGCATGCGCGGGCGCCCCGCGACCACTTTGCATTGTTTTGCCCCACGTCCAACATGGGTTTACTGTTTTTGTTGGACACCCCGCGCAGTCCTCACCTCATCTTACCCCCCCTCCTTCGCACACACCCACACATGAGCACCATCGTCATCGTGGTCATCATTCAAAATTATCCTCATGGACCAAATGGTTAATCCGAGGGGGTCCTCGATTCCTGCAGCTGTCATCGCGGTGGGGCTCCTGAGTCGTGAATCTTGGTGACGTCTCATGCGGGGGCCTCGTCTGAGAGTGACTGGTGGGGAAGAAGTCTCAGGCGGGAGCCCCCATCCGATGGGCCCCACACCTCGTGCTCGGATCCGAACGGGTTGTCCTCAAACCTGTAGCTGTTGTCACCCTTCGGCCCATTAGGGTTTATCTTCGCAGAAGTCTCAAGCGGGCACCTCGTTTGAGCGACTAGCGCGGGAGTCTCAGGCGGGAGCTCTCTCCCTCTCTCTCTATCTCGGGGTCCCGTAGCCCACGCAACCAATCAAAACCCGTAACCAATCAAAGCCCGTACGTGTTGTCTCTTTGGGGTTCCTGGCGCATGGGTCTGGAAGACATGTCGAACGGGAACTTCGTCCGGGAGTGGATGGCGGGGGCGATCTCAGCTCGCGCTCGGAAAAAAATCGCCCACTCTTTGGAATTCGACTCTCCGCTGGCCTGTCATTGACCCTTGCGGGCCGCCCTTCCCTACGGGGCTCGCACTTCGCATTGGCAATCCGAGCGTTCTGTTCCGAGCTGGTCGTCCGCAAACTTGTTACTGTCATGTGCCCGCGTTCCCGAAATTGGGACCCCCCACGGCTCCGCAGCATCGTAAGACACAAGGGCGACTGAGGAGCTGACGACGACGACGGCGAGACGGCGACCGGGCGCAGGGGTAACCTGCTGTGTCTGGGCCAAGGGGTGGTAACCCTCCTCGGCCGAATCCGGGGCAGGAGTAACCTCTTGTCTCCAGGCAGCCCGTGGTAAACCATCGGCGGCCGAATCGGGCGCAAAAGTAACCCCGTGCGTCCGGGCCGGGGGTGGTCACCCATCCTCGGCCGAATCGGGGGCAGGGCGAACCCCTTGTCTCCGGGCCGCCGGTGGCCCCTCTGATGCGGTCCGCCCAGACGCACGGCGTCTGGGCATGCCCCTCGTTTTCGTGCGGGCCGTGGACGAGTGCAACTCCGACGCGGGTCGGCGCCTCCTGGGCGTCCCGAACATGAACGAGACACGCGAAATCCACGGCGTCTTACCTGCCCACGTCGGCACAGAGGTTCGACTCAACTAAGAGATTGGGCATCGTGCAGGAGCAACGGGCCACCACCGTGTCTTTTGAGGTCTACCCCGTGGACGAGCAGCGGCACGAGGAGTGTTCGCCAGGCCACCTCATTCACCCCGCTTCCTACCGCAGGGAATCTGGCTGCAGGTTCACGGCTTCGAGGGGTCTCCGATCTGACCAGAGGTCGCCGAGCTGCTGCGACGGAGCGCCGAAGGTGCCGACGACGACGGCCAGGCTCGAACCCAGCGGGCAGGAACTCACGTGGCAGAGCTGGGGGCTGCACGCCGTGCGCCGCTCGGGGTCACCCTGACACACGCGTCCTACCTCACCTCCACGCTGTCGCAAGGCCAAACGCTGCGCAAGGGCGTCACCATCGACTGCGCGAGGAACGAGGGCGCTGGCCGCACGGGCATGTCGGACGGCCAGAGGAGCCTGCAGCTCGACGTCACGTTTTCCCGCGCCGCGTGCATGCGGAAAACGCTAATCCTGCGGCCGCCGCCGCGAAGAGCTCCTGGAACGAGGGCCGCTGGCGCCCTTGCGGACGGCGTCCCTCGAATTCGACACGAGAGCAGGGCAGGGGCGGAACAACGCGCAGCAGAGCTGGACTTCGTGCCGCCTCCCGCCAGGGCGCGCGGCGCCCCGCTCGAAGCACGCAGGGTTGTCCCAAAAAGCTTGGTCTCGCGCGCCAGCGGCTCGCGGGGTTGCCCCGACGGCTTGGCCCGCGGGGTTGCCCAAACGGCTTGGCGATGTGACCATTAAAGAACGCGCCCGTGCTGGCCGAGGCGGCGACGGTGCCGATGAAAACCGACACGCGCGCTCATGCAGTAGAAAGTGGAGGAGGTGGCGGGGGGTGAAAAAACAGGAGGGCAAGGAGGGGGCAACGTATGGAGCGGGAGGAGGGCCTGCGCCAGGGCGAGAAGGAGAATGAGGCAGAGGAGGCAGTAAGGGCGCCTCAGCAATCACGAGGGCGGCGATGAGGGTCATTTCCAAATTAGCCGATGAGATTCATGTGGGATCTGACCCTCGGAGCAATGACAAAAACGGCGGGAGTGCCGGCATATTGCTTAGAGCACGTGCCGCACCTGGCGCGCTTGGCTCGCTTGGGCCTCCAGCGTGCCTGGTGCATCTGGAACTCGTGGCGCACATGGCATGCGTAGCGCTTGTAAGCAATATGCTGGGACTCCCTTGGGTGTTA